CGGCATTCAAGTCCATATTTAACTGTTTCATAGCCCAATATGCTCGGTGCTCCATTTCTAATGGCAGATGGCATGCTTTCCCAAAGACTAGGTGGTATGGAGACATGCCGATCGAGGTCTTGAATGCTGTTCTGTAAGCCCATAATGCATCGTCTAGCTTTTTAGACCAATCCTTTCTAGATGAATTCACAATGACTTCTAGTATTCTCTTCAGCTGCCGATTAGATACCTCAACTTGCCCGCTGGTTTGTGGATGATATGGAGTAGCGACACGGTGTTTAACGCCATATTTATTCAACAGCTGCTCAAACTGGCGATTACAGAAGTGTTTGCCCTCTTCAGCTGCCGATTAGATACCTCAACTTGCCCGCTGGTTTGTGGATGATATGGAGTAGCAAGGTGGTGTTTAACGCCATATTTATTCAGCAGCTGCTCAAACTGGCAATTACAGAAATGTTTGCCCCCATCGCTGATTATAGCCTGCGGTGTACCATATCGGGTGAAAATATATTTCTTCAAGAATCCAATTACTGTCTTTGAGTCATTTGTTGGCAGTGTAATTGCTTCCACCCATTTTGAGACGTAATCTACTTCCACCAAGATATACTGGTTTGAGAACGAAGGGGGGAAAGGTCCCATGAAGTCAATTCCCCAAATATCAAATATCTCCACTTCCAAAATATTGTTCAGTGGCATTTCATTTCTCCTCGAGATATTCCCAGTGCGTTGACATCTGTCACACCTCTTAACAAACTCAAATGTGTCTTTAAACAATGTAGGCCAGTAGAAACCTGATTGTAGAATCTTTGCAGCTGTTTTTGAAGCTCCAAAGTGTCCTGCATATGCGGATGAGTGACAGTGCTCAAGAATCTCATGTACTTTTTCTTCAAGTACGTACCTCCGCACTATCTGTTCAGCTCCTCGTCTATAGAGAATTGGATCCTCCCAGAAATAATATTTTAACTCGGCGAAGAATTTTTTTCTTTGGTGATTGGAGCAGTCAGGCGGTGGAATGGAACTGGCCAAGTAATTGACAATATCTACGTACCAAGGTGCTTCATCCGCTCTCAACATCTGTTCATTCGGGAAGATCTCATTTATATCCACTAAATCTTCCGTCTCCCCAAGGTCTAGTTTGGATAGGTGATCTGTTACTACGTTCTCGGTGCCCTTATTGTCGCGTATCTCAATGTCATATTCCTGCAACAGCAGCACCCAACGAATTAATCTCGGCTTTGCATTCTTTTTTGTGAGCAGATACTTCAATGTAGCATGATCAGTATAGACAATGATTTTAGACCCGACAAGGTATGACCTGAATTTGTCAAATTCAAATACCACAGCCAATAGCTCCTTTTCAGTGGTTGCATAATTTATTTGTGCATCATTTAGAGTTCTGCTTGCATAGTAGATCACATGAAAAATCTTGTTCCTCCGTTGTCCCAATACTGCACCTACAGCATGATCACTTGCATCACACATCAATTCAAAAGGCAATTCCCAGTCTGGTGCTACAATTACTGGTGCTGTCATAAGCTTTTCCTTTAAAGTGTTAAAGGCTGTGAGACAATCCTCATTGAACTCAAAGGTTACATCTTTCATTAGCAAATTGCACAAAGGTTTAGTGATCTTCGAGAAATCTTTTATAAAACTCCGGTAGAACCCAGGTGCCCCGAAAAACTGCGAACTCCTTTAACTGATGTAGGCGGTGGTAATTTCTCAATCACTTGAATTTTTACCTTGTCTACCTCAATTCTTTTTGTCGATATCCTATGCCCAAGTACAATGCCTTCCTGCACCATAAAGTGGCATTTTTCCCAATTTAAAATAAGGTTAGTCTCCTTGCATCTCTGTAAGACCAAATTCAAGTGGTTTAGACATTCATCAAATGAAGATCCAAATACTGAGAAGTCATCCATGAAAACCTCGATAAACCTTTCAATCATATCAGAGAATATTACCATCATGCACCTCTGAAAAGTGGCTGGAGCGTTGCAAAGACCAAAAGGCATCCTACGATAAGCAAAAGTACCGTAGGGGTAAGTGAAAGTGGTCTTCTCCTGATCCTCTGGTGCGATAGGTATTCGATTATAGCCCGAGTATCCATCAAGAAAGCAGTAGTGTGAATGTCCAGCCAACCTCTCCAACATATGATCAATGAATGGGAGTGGGAAGTGATCCTTTCGTGTATCTGCATTGAGTTTGCGATAGTCAATGCAAACTCTCCAACCCGTAACTGTTCTAGTGGGAATTAGTTCATTCTTCTCATTTTTCACCACTGTGATTTCCCCTTTTTTCGGTACCACTTGAACAGAGCTGATCCATGCACTATCCAAAATTGGGTAGATAATTCCTGCATCCAATAACTTCAGTATCTCTGCCCTGACCACTTCCTTCATGTTTGGGTTCAATCTTCTCTGACTTTCTATGCTAGGCTTGCAATTTTCCTCCATTAAAATTTTATGCATACACAGGGAAGGACTGATTCCTTTAATGTCAGCTATTGTCCAACCAATCGCCGTCTTGTTCTCTCTAAGTACCCTGAGCAGTTTTTCCTTCTCCATCTCACTGACTGTGTTCAAAATGATTACTGGAAGTGTATCTGACTCTCCTAAATAAGCATATCTGAGATGTGGCGGTAGTTGTTTGAGTTCTAAAACTGGCTGCTGCTGAACTAAACGTAGTGGCTTTGTGTTTCCCATCCCCAGTTCCTCGAAGTGCCTCTTTCGTGTGTATGACGAGTTGGTCTCCAAAAATCTTGCACATGTTTCAACTTCAAAAGACTTTAACTGGATTGATTGGGATTGTGCAATACATGCCTCATAGGCATCAGATGGACCGTGTAGTAAGAATATTTCTTGTACCGCCTTGCCAATAATGTCAACTTGATAACAACTGTCAGATTCTACTGGTAATTTCATTGCCTTGAATACATTGAATGATATCTGCTCCTCTCCTAATCTGTAAATCAACTGACCTCTTTGAACATCAATTAATGCTCTCCCTATTGCCAGAAATGGTCTGCCAAGTATCAATGGAACGTCCTTGTCCTCTTCCATGTCCTTGATAAGAAAGTCCGCTGGGAATATGAACTTCTCAACCTTGATAAGCACACCTTCAATTATTCCTCTGGGATGTGTCAGTGACCTGTCAGCCAGCTGAAGTGTCACAGTGGTTGCTTTAGCTTCTCCCAATCCTAGTTTCCTGAAAATAGACAAAGGCATTAAATTAATACTTGCACCGAGGTCACATAATGCTTTATCAAAATATACTTCACCGATTGTGCAAGGAACAGTAAAACTCCCTGGATCTTTTAGTTTTGGTGGAAGCTTATTCTGAATTCTGGCACTACATTCCTCAGTAAGCATGACTGTCTCATGATCTTCCAGCTTGCATTTATTTGATATGATATCCTTCAGAAATTTCGCGTAGCTAGGCACCTGGAACAGTGCATCAGCTAGTGGGATGTTGATATGGAGCTTTTTGAAGATTTCTAGAAATTTTTTGTATTGTTGCTCCACTTTTTGCTTCTTCAAGCGCTGTGGAAAGGGAATCGGAGGTTCGTAGGGGTTGATTGTGACTTTGGCCTTATCTTGTGATTCTTCTGAATTTTCCTTTGAACTTGATTCCTTTACAACAGTCTCTTCTTCAGTGGAAGAAGATGTTTCTCCAATCACCCCCCGTCTCTTGACATGGATTTCAGGTAATTGCACTCCACTTCGAGTTGTAATGGCCTTGGCTTGCTCTTTAGGATTGATTTCTGTATTACTTGGTAAGTTACTTGGTGTTCTGCTAGTCAATGCGATGGCTAGCTGCCCCATCTGAGTTTCCAAATTTTTGATGGCTGCATTTTGATTTTGAAGTGTAGCTTTGGCCTTCTCCATGAATTTTCCTATCATATCTTCCAATTGAGGCCTCTTCTCCTGTTGTTGAAATTGCCCCTGTGACTTATTCTGATTCTGGTTGCTCCAAGAGAAGTTGGGATGTTTCTTCCAGCTGGGGTTGAAAGTCTCGCCATATTGATTATGTTGCTGGCGTTGTCCCCACTGTGCGTAATCTGCTTGCTCAATTCCTTGCATGAGTATAGGGCAATCTAATGTTTTGTGCTCGGCTCCACATTCCTTACAATTGCTCTTCTTAGCTTGTGATGCTTGTGATATGCTTTCCACCTTGTGATACAGAGAATCAATTTTTGCAGAGATTGCTGAATAAGCGTCCACCTCGTAGACACCTGGAGTTTTCTTTGGAATCGCCCTCTCAGAAGACCACATGGCTGATGTGGTAGCCATTTGCTCAAATAATTCCAATGCTCCATCAACTGTTCTTGTGGATATTGAGCCATCTGATGCTGAATCTACCATGCTCTTATGGTATGGAAGTAATCCTATGTAGAAGAATCGAATCTGGGTCTTTTTATCGAACCCATGCTGAGGGCATTTCCGGAGCATGTTTTTAAATCTGTTCCAGGCTTCATCAAATGATTCAGTCTCTCCTTGATTGAATACTGATATATCATGTCTCAGCTTTGCTATCTTGGCTGGGGAGAAGAACTTTGTGCAGAACTTGTGTGCCAGCTCATTCCATGTAGTGATACTTGCAACCGGGAGTGAATCCAACCATTCAAGTGCTCTATCTCGTAACGTATGTGGAAAAAGCCTCAACCTAATAGCGTCATTCGAAATCCCTTGGTATCTGAAATGTTGACACATATCCAGAAATCGAGATACGTTAATGCCGTTTAAATTTCAAACAGTTTTCCCATCCAATTGACACTTGACAACAATGCAAGTGTCAAATAATGTGTCAAAAATCAGTGTACAAATAGCAAAGTTCAATCAGTAAGGACAGTTCTACATGTACACTATGGTGTACACTTTTGTTTACACTTTGCCACGTGATATTACCCTGTTAGGCCATTTAAATTTCAAACAGTTTTCACATCCAATTGACACTTGACAACAATTTAAGTGTCAAACAACGTGTCCAAAATCAGTGCACAAATAGCAAAGTTCAACCGGTAAGAACCTTTCTACATGTACACCATGGTGTACACTGTTCGCGAAATATTTCTTTCGATTTAAATTACCGCAAGTGTACGGGTCGTGACAAGTAATAAAGTGGGCTTTAGAAGTCCGAGTATCGTCCCACAGAGAAAGAGTAGTTCAATTTTATTTATTTTAGCCTTAACCGAAACTAATTGACTTAAGATGAATTTTAGAATTAAAAGCCCTAATTTTGGGAGAAATCCCCAAATTGAAAAACCCTAATTTCAAATCAAACCCTAATTACTCAAATTCACTTAACGAATGACACAATTAAGTAATATTATGAAAATAAATGAAATGTATTGTCAATTTATGAAAATCTATGTCAAATGAATGCACTAGGATCACGAATCCCCAAATAATTATTAAGTAAACCCTAATTTCACAATTTTGATAATCCAATGAGAATTTGACAAATCAATGCTCCTAAATCTATTCAATACTCTCTCTCCAGATGTATTGAACCTATTCTCATAAATCACCAGCCTATATTTCTATGACGGATGCAATTATACAAGAACGCATGTAATTTTTTGTGAGCAATTAAAGATTTACATAGGGCATAGGGGTATATTTCTATCCCTATCGGACCTTATGATGAATTATATATGTCGAGTTTAATCCAATTTTCTCAAATTCAGAATTAAACCACCAAATTCACACAAATTAAGTGCACATTAATTGTGGAAACAAATAAATCAATATAATTCATTCAAATAATCCCATCGAGCTGTGAATTCAAAGTCATGAAATAACAGGTTTAATGATAACTACATGGTTCATTGATCACCTAGTTACAGAAATCTAGCCTATCATGATAAAAATAACGAAATCTATCAAGTTTTGAATAAAATACATCACCGGGTTATCAAAACTCGAAGAAATCTTGTAAATCTTCACGTCAATCCTTGTTCTTGCCTTTAAATCCTCTCCAACATGAATGTTTTTGCCTCCTAATTTGTCCGTGTCGGCTTCTGGACATTTTTTGCTATTTAAACCCGTCTAAATTAGGTTACCAAAGGAGTTGCAATCATATAAGGGAACTGCAAAAATTGGGCACAGATTATACCTATGCGACCACATAGGCATAACCTATACGACCGCATAGATATATGGATTTTGGCATTTTTAATCCCTGGAGGGTTACTCGCGACTGCATAGGTTTTCTACTATGCTACCGCATAGTAGAGTGGACTTCTAAATTGAGTCATTTTGATCCTCAAGTTTCGTTCCTTCACTCCTTGACCTCCTCTCTTGTTTTTAGTTGCTCCAATGTTCCATTATAACTTCCAATTGGTGCTTAGCTTGATCAATTGCTTGATGTGTTCATCGAATAAACTTTCAAATAATTGCAATTTGGTCCCTGAATTTTCATTTTGCTCCAATTTGGTCCTTTTTCGGCTCTGTTCTCCTGAATTCCACTATTTCCATAGAATCACCTACATTGCATGAAATTGACAAAATTAAGTAACAATTCAATCATTTTACTTGTATTTAAGTCATGTTTGTGATGTAAATAAGTGCAAAAACACACTTATCATACACTTTAGTTTACAC